TGATTAAAATCTGATCATAGTAAAATTACTAGTATTGCTGATATAATTTTGATTTACTTAGTTGAGTTACCACCCTAATACTATATTATATAACATATGATTTTTTATCATATGACTTTATGATATTGTCATCTGCCAACATTGTCTTTTACAACTTAGCATAGCTGTTTTATTAATATTGATTTATATCTATTTTATATATAACCATAGAGAATACGTAGTAAAATCTTATTTACTCCGATATAGCGTATAATTAAAGCTGCGTATAATGATAAAAAAAGAAACGTGCATAAATGCTGCAATGATTTCATGTGATACTTGCATTTACGCATTGATCCTGAAATTTATTAGCTAAGCAGATACGGGAAAATTATCAATTCCCAATTTTTCTATATTGGAAGTTAACATGAGAAATTAATTACACTGCTTTATTTAAGAAGTTTAATATTAGAGTAAGTATAGTTTATAGCAAAATTTAAGAGAACATATCGCAAATTGGTCGATTACGATGAGTAAATAATTTGCAAAATTTTCGGAATCCTGATATCGCACACTAGTTTCTGATCAATAAAGTGGCTTGGAAATCATATCAGGATCTTAGTTCAGGTAACTTTTCTGGATTATAACAAATACTGTTGTATTGCAGTGCATTGCCATTTGGTGTTAACTGAAACTCGTGTAACAGCCGTGCTTAGCCAATCATGGTTATAAAGAATTTCTGTCATTTACCTAAACTTATTTCTTTTTAGATCATTTCCTTACCTTATAGTTGATGATCTGATGAGCAAAACAATAAAACCAAATAAAGAACTGTGGGGCTTCGTCATTTACCTTGAAGACCTTCCTAATTGAAGTTCACATGCATTATTACATTGTTCCAACTAAATAAAGCCACGTAGGGTAAATGGAACTAGTGTAAACACCGGTATTTTGGAAAACGAGCTTATGCAAAGTGAAAATCGAAAGTACAAGTAGGATACATGTTGGAAGATAATTTGCAAGTACAGCCCAGGGGCGTCTTAAACTTCTGTACGTACCTTTTACCACTAGATTATTTTCACAATGCCATATTCAATAAATCCTTTTAAGCTTGTGCAAATATCTTTATCCTTCATTTCTGCTGCTGAGGCTGCTGCCGCAGCACGTAATGTATCGGAGTCGTCTTTGACATCTCCCGAGAAGAAAGGTCGTTTATTTGAATCACAATCATCTTTGACCGAAAAAGAAGAAACAGGGTCACTCATTCATAAAAGTGACAAGATTCTAAAGCTGTTGATAGGTACAAAATCAATCCTGATGCAATTTAGAGAGTTAAGCCAAGAAGGTTTTGATATATTATATCCTTTTACCGGTCTTAGAAATACTTATAAATCTAGTAAATCACCTACAAGAGATGATCAACTATCAAATAATTTTCGTAAGCAAGTTCTTGAAAGATTAGATAAACGTAAAAACATAGTAGACGACGAAACACAACATAATGCTTTAGATATTTATCTCAAATATAGTGATATAATATCGACTGAAAAAATTGTAGAACTGGATCAGAGCACGATTTCATTCTTATTAAACAAACGCATTAACCAAAGTATAAAAAAGTTGGATATTTTTGCTGCCCGTGTGTCTGATCCATGTTTGAAAATTTTAGTAGTGGGAGATGTAAAAACGAGGAAACAATCCTTGATAAATTCACTTATACATCATAAAATATTACCATTGGAGTTACAAATGGAACGGGTTCTGTTCTGTGAAATATTAGATGTAAGAGATAACTCTGGTGAAGAAGAAGTTCATGCTATTGAAGATCTTGAAAAATACAATCGAAAAGATCCAACAACATATTCAATAATCTCATTAGCGAATCTCTATAGCACCATTAGTGATTGTAAAAAAGAAATCGGTTGTATAAAGGTATATATATATGTTTTACAGTTTAACAAAATTTCATATTGTTTAGGTAGATTACTTATCATTTTATTCTTAATTCATAAAGGTTTACTGTAAAAACTGCCATTACATCCAAGAGAGTCTTTTACATGACGAAATCGTCGATATTGCTTTAATTGATTGTTCCAATTTCCTTCATGATACAATTAAAATCACAGATGCCTTTATGTTTGTAGCTAGTTCCGAGAATTATATTGTTTCATCGGTCGAAAAGTTGTTATCTAATAATACATTTGATGAAAACAATAATTTATTTATTGTGTTGAATCAGTTTGGTAATATCGCAGACAAAGTGAAGTGCAAGCAGATCGTCACCAATTGGATTGTAGAATCATGTCCAAACATTAAACGCGATGTAGAATTATTTCATTTTTTACCTACCAAAAAGATTTCTTTCAATGTTGCAAATGATCTTTATCAGCTCCGAGAGTCTTTAGGCAATTTAGCGACAAAAAAAATATCCAAAACAAAATTTGTACCAGCACAAGATTATCTTCGGTCTCTTATCATAGATATTGGAATTGTTGCAGAATTCAATTTATATATGGCAACCTGTGAATCCGAAAAATTTGAACGACAACTCGAAGAAGATAAAATAGCTTATGAGCAGCTATGCAAAGATTTGAATGAAACTAGTTCGAAATCCAAAAAATATGCCAGAACAACATCTAATTTTGTTTATAAAAACACGAAAGATAGAACAGTAAACGCCATCGCAAATATGGAACAAAAATCCGATATTAATAAAATAGACTTTCAAGGGGTACTTTCAACATTAAGCTTTGCCAACCACGTCCGTGACGCTATGATAAACGGAATTTCCGAAGAAATTTCTATGTGCGAAAAAATATCTAAAAGACAAGTTGATATTTGTATTTCAAAAATCAATTCGTTGGCAGAGAAATTAGAGGGAGAATTTAATGAAATCAACCTTGAAGAAATGTATTCTGGTCCTGCGCTTTCATCTTATATTATTCAAATTTTTTTCTTAGAGTTTTTCTATTTAAAACAAAGTCGTGATCTGAACACAAACGAAGATAGAAGTCTTACAATCGCGGCGACTTCAAAAATACTTACAATGGCGAATTTATTGGGAGTTACAAATTTTCTAGGATTGCCTAAAACGCAACGTTGGGTATCACGTTTGTTATGCATAGCGGGTAGGTTTGATTTATGCACGCCTATTTTATTTCTATCATAATAATTTATAACTTTTTGTTGACAATTTATTCTTTTATAAATTCGATAGGTGTTGGCCTTTTTGTAAAATATATTCTTTGCAACATGAGAATTTCCATAATACGAAAAATAGCTTTAAAGATACGAGATCATTTAAACCAAACAAACTTTGTTGATAACGAAGCAGAACGTATAAAGATGCAGAGTGACGTGAAGATTGACTTATCGATTGAATATTTGGAAAAACGAATCAAACAGACACTCCTCGCCGCACAGAAAAGGCGTCTTGGTATTCTTACTGCTTACAAAGGAACCATTGAAAGTTCTGAATTTTTTAAACTAACGTTCAGAAGAGCCGAAATAATTTTCGAGAGCTTAAACAGTATATGTAATGTGGCTGAGGAGTTGGAATTTTAATATTTTCGGGTTTAATACAATATCCCGAAAACCGAAATTCGACAAAGTCGGTCGGGATTTTGTTCATCGGATTAAATACTTGCCGATAGATGTTATTTATAGGGGCGAATACATAAAATGATGGTTATAACTTATTCTCATATAATTCTTTTATTTTTTCTAATTTTACAATATTGGAACATATGTGACTAAATGTTATCACAAAATTTGTTCTGTCATCGTAAATGATTGGCTTAAGTGTGCAGCGAAGCGACACATGTCATCCATTGCACAAATAAGACGTTCCTTAATTATTATCCCGAGCAAATTGATGATTTTATAGAAATTTTTAATATTTAGATTGATGTTAAAATTTTTATTGTTAAAAAAAACAAAAAAACAAATCTATAAAAATGATATATATATATATATATAAATGGTATAAATTAAATAAAGATTAGATTTCAAACTAAAAATTAACAATATAAGTTTTGCTAAAGCAATAACAAAGTTTTTATAACTATTGAAATAATTGAATATTAAAAGCTAGTTTTAAAAGCCAAAAGTAAATATATATTGCTTTGGATAGCTTTTTAAAGACGACGAATCTGGTATGATCAACTACTCAATCGGATCGCTCGTGACCGATCAAAGGTTTAAGTTCAATCGGCCAAGATATTTATAATTTTGAATAACGTCCAAATTAAGCCTAGAATTGTTAACTTACATGTATTTTTACCGATGTAAAATTTTACTAATAATTGACGTAGATTACTTGTAAGTTAAATACATAAGTTATAGATTTTAATTACAGCTGTTTTCATAAGTTTTGGAACAACTGATAAAACGCCGATGACTGAATCGAAGTCGGTTACTTATTGACTCCGACTTGGTAACTTATCGATTCGGTCATCGGCAATTTTTTCAGTTGTTTCAGAATTTATGAGAACAGCTGTAATGCTGGTTGAAATTGTCACATGATTCGGCCGGCTTTAGTACACTGTGTTGTAACCTACATATGTAAGTTATAGTGTAAATTATTATGAAGACTCATAATACTGTAATAATCACACTCATATTTTAATTAGAATTCATATCGATATAGGTTAAGATTATAAGACCTCTATAAGTAAAATAGTCTCCGACATTTTTTATTAATGCACAAGATAGGGTTGGACACTCGTTGTATTTTTTGCATTTTTTACTTTTTTTCTTTGTCGAGCTGAATTTTTAAAAAAACGTCCACTATTTTAATTAGTCGTAGGAAACAGGAAATTTCATCAGTTTTCTTTAATCGATTCTGAAATAAGTACTGTATTAATTAATAGCTGTTACCAGTATTTTTCATTGGACAAAATCTTGAACTTGTTTATAATTCAAAATTTTACTATAACAATCTAATTTATTAAATATATATATATATTTAACACCTAATTTTTATATAATTATGTGCTTTTAGATAATTATTTAATTTTATATGAATGCAAATTGCTTAGGCAATTAAAATGAGAAACATTGGGCTGTTACTACTCAATCTATTTAGTTTTTACCATTATCAGTTATATAAAGTTGCTATGTTATCGTCAGGAAGTTCGAAAGGTGTTAAATAACACCCTTAAAAATGTTGTTCAACAAGTCCATTATTGGTTAACGATTTTTATTAATAAAATTAATGTATAAAACAGAGCATGTTGAATAGTTTTAAACAACAATAGTTTTTTAATAACAATAACTAAGTTATTTAATATATTCGCTCTTCGTTGTTTTATTTATTTTATGGGGACTGCACATGTCGGGGCGGACTTGTAAAATACAGGGATAACTTCTCTCTGAATCAAACCATTAACAAAAATAGATGACATTTTAAAATTTGTCAGGTTCGTTTCATCCCTTATTAGTACCCCCTCAGTTGTCAAGAATTCTGCTAGTTTTCTTTCTATGGGGTTATGAATTGGTGCAAAATCGAAAAATCTCAGATAAACATATCGAAGAAGTTCTATAGCAGGCCTAGATTCTTCCTTTTTGAGTGTAGTAACCATCCTTCTGAAAGTGCTATAATCAGATATTCTCTTTTCCATAGTATTGATAATAAAGTTTAACCAGGTTGAGATCCCAAGCCTTCTGTTTTCATCAAGCTTTGACATTAAATCTGAATGGATATTTTTTCCACAAAGACTGACAAGTGCAGCATGTCTATCAAACAACCGAATTATGAAAATAAGTTACAGATTTTGATTTCACACAATTTTCCAATTAGTTTCACATACCCATTTGTCCTATAATAGATATCTTTAATGATTTCTAGATCAATGGTCAAGTTGAAGTTATTCTCAAACTCTTTAAATATGGTCTGCACTTGTTCTAGTGTGAAATTTGGGTTTCTAAATACTTCCTTAACGTTGAATAGAGACATACTTGTTTTTTCTGAACTCAGGTGTAAAATACTAAAGGGACCAATAGCTACCAAAGACAAGAGAGCATAGTAATCCTTTGCGTTCTTAATGGCATTAATTAATCTAAGAAATGAGGATTTAATATCTTCATGTGCTCCAAACAATAAATCGTACTCATCAATGAATAGAAAAACATGATTATTATTCCAATGTTCTTTCTTAAACTTTTTCATGAAATCAGAAGCAGATTTGACATCATCTTCTCTGAAATATTTGGAATCAGCAATGTTAAGTTCAGCACCAAATGTCGACCAGAATGTGTTTGTAGTTTTCATGTTACATTGCTCAAAATTTACACTATACCGAAGGAAAAAAAGCAATATTATACTGAATACACATCATCAGAGAATCAGTACTTATTAAATAGAACTTACTAAATGCCAACAATGCCTTGTTATCTAATAAGTTAAAAGGCATGCCGATATTTCTGACTTAGCTTTATAAATTTATCTAGCATTTTAATTT